TGTCCTTTACCAAGTTTTCCAATGCCATCCTGTGCTTTGTCTTAAGGTTTATTCTTTGTCTACTTCAAAAATACGAAAGACTATGTAATGTATTGAAATACCATGCAAGAAAACACTTCAGGAAACTGTCAATCTCCGTAGTGGAAAAAAAAAATGAAAAATTTGTTGTCTTTTTACATTTTTAGAGAATGAGAAATAGCAAGAGAAAAAAAATCCAATGACTGGCAAAGCCACTTAGTAAGGCCCCACAGCAGGTGTAGCAGGTAGACCCTTGGCCTTGGATACAGCTCCTGAGAGATTCTAACTGAACGAATGGTATCAAGAAGCAGCAGGTGAGGTCCAGGGGAAACAGGGCAGACCTGAGTCACAGACCCACAAAGAATCAAGTTTCCTGCCAGTTCATGAAGCACTAGACTGGAGGTGTCCAAAAGCTTTATGCTAGTGAACCAGCAAGCATGAAGCTAATGACTAATGATATTCCATTGCCAGGTGGAAATAGGATTCCAGATGTTTCATGACTTATGCCGTGTAGATTAGGTAACTTAAGAGAATGCCTACATCTGAACAAGAGTCAAACATATTAAACAGAATGAAGGTGACAAAGATGTTCAGTTGATGCTAACAATAACCCCAGCCAGGATGAGGAATGGCTGCTTCCCTGAAAAATGACTATCCATTTTAGCAGACATCTCATAATTGTATGTCTAAGCTTTGTTTACAGGTTTGAGGATCAGGAGGCTGGAGGAATTGTCATATTTGCTGCTACTTTAAATGCTTGAGAGAAAAATATCAGAATGCTGTTGTCAGTAATTTTGGTAAAAGCTTGACTGGATAGGACATACATCCCCAGAGTCATACCAGAGAGACGTGGAAATATCTAATATAAAAATAAGTAGAAAAAGAAACGACTGTTGAATATTATGTTTCCTGACACAAAATTAACATAGTGTGGCAAAAATTTTCAAGTACATCTCCAAAGTGTCATTTGCTGTGTACAACATGGGGCTGTCAAGCTACCAACAAAAATAACCTAGCCAGTATGCATGCTTCCATGAAGCAGCTAGTGGACAAAAGTCACTTATCAAATCTTGCTAGCAGCCTTCTTCCACTGGGAAAATTCATTTATCTCCACCTGACCGCAGGAGAGACTCGTGTGAGGGACAGAGCAAGGTGGAGACATAGTTCTAGCTCTCTGGGGAAGGCAATTCAGTCCGAGGACACACTACAGGGACCTCTGTCAAAATCTGGTTTTCAGGGGCTGGGGATGTGGCTCAAGCAGTAGCGCGCTCGCCTGGCATGTGTGCGGCCCGGGTTCGATCCTCAGCACCACAAAGATGTTGTGTCTGCCGAAAACTAGAAAGTGAATATTAAAAGAGTTCTCTCTCTCTCTTAAAAAAAAAAAAAAAATCTGGTTTTTAGGTGAATGGTTTTTCTCTACCTAGTTTCCAGGAAAGAAGTTACTTAGGTCTGATACCTATGGGGATGATAGGTTACTTGGCTATATTGGCTATTTATGGACACATGCATTATTATTTTTTAATCCTCAGTACAACTTTCTGAAGAATCATACTAAAGAATTTTATCCCAATAGGAACACAGTATTTTCTCCAATCAGTGACGACGACTTTTTTGCTTTCAGAATCATCTATGAGTTTCCTAATAATAGGACATAAATTTATTAGATATTCTGATGCAAATCTCCAGGGCTTTGTAAAAATTAAGGTAAGGATTTCACAGCAATGGATGCAAAGAGATACCCTACCATTTATACCTGAACTTTCAGATAATGGTCTGCACTGATTTCAGAACAGTACAAATGAGAACACATGCAGATCTTTTCCTCACTTGGGCCTAGTAGTTTTACACAGAGGAAAAATACTGAGACCATCACCACTAAGTCTAGGCAGTGTTGGGACACACATCTGCTGTGAGCCACAAGAGGACCAGATGGAAAAGTAATTCAAACACATTTTGACTTGATGGTGGGGGTTAGTGGCATCATTTATACAAGAGTTACAGCAGATTTAGCTGGGAAGAATTTTGGCTGACAGATCTCACTAGATGGCACATAATGCTATTGGTATTTAACCATTAGCCCTTCTCTTTCTAAAAACATTTTAGAGAAGATTTTTTTTTTTAAATGCTGTATTTTCTGCTTTTAAAAGCTCTTCAGAATCTGTATAAAGATCTGTAGTAAAAGACTCCATAAAATGAACAATCATCTGGAAGTTTATGTAAGTCAATCATAAATATTAGTTTTTCCTTTTCTTATAGATACAATTCTGAAATATAGGCCACAATTTCTGTAGATGTGATGCAAGAAAGGACATCTCAGGCAACTATTTTTATCTGTGGTAAGAAATGGGAAGTTTGCAGGGAGAAGGTAGGCTTAAGGATGGGGCAGTATAGATTTGTACACCACCATGAATTCTGTGGAACCATGATAAATGGTTGTGATGGGGTCAGAACACTTGGTTCTCCTCCCAGCATTGTGCTAGGAAATCTGAAGCAAATCTTCCAACCCATTTGAGCCTCAGGAAAATAAGGATAACATCTCCCTAATTATCCAAATGCACAACATGACATTAAATTATAGCATTTGGGAGGAAGGGACAGATTGCTACAAAAAATGTGAAGTGTATTTTGATCCTATGATTCCATAAGGGTCAAGAGCAAAACAGGACCACATAATGCCAGGTGTTTGATGCAAGACAAACATCCGCATGTTTGATTATACTTTTTATTCTTCCTCCAGATGTTGTGATGTAATAAATGTTAGGGATAAGCAAAAAGTTCTTTTAAAAAATTTGAAAATGAGACTTGGACTAGATATGGTGGTACATGCTTGTGATCTCAGTTACTCAGGAGGCTGAGACAGGAGGATTGCAGGTTTGAGGGTAGCCTCAGCAACCTAGCGAGGCCCTGTCTCAGAATAAAAGCTAAAAAAGGTTGGGAATGTAGCTCAGTGGTACAGCACCCCTGGTTTAATCCCCAATATGAGAGGAAGGAAGAAAAAAAAAAAGAGGATCCAGTCAAAATAGCCCAACAATGAGATGCTACCAGGATGTTTCAAAGAATAACAAAATAGACTGAGAAAAAGCTTTCTGGCACCCCAACACGATTTCTGTCATAAAGGCAAAACTCTTCAAATCAGAAGGAAGCCTCAAGTCTTCTTTTTGAGATCATTCTCTTATGGAATTTTTATATACTTATCCTTTCCAATTTTATTCATCAGTTACACATTAGGACAAGGAAACTAGATTTCTTTGCTGGTTCTGATTTGAACTATTAAACATGATGAATAGCTCTTCTAGATACTAAAAGAATTTTTTTTTTTTACCCCAGGGAAAAAAACCAACATCACCATATGATGCTGTCTTACTAATTTGTAATTATGTATGAATTCAAGCCCTGTATTCCATATTCAGATACAGGTTATCAGCTGTGTGATTTTACTTAATTATTTTCTCCATTTCTACCCTTTCACCAAAGAGGAAAATGACATTTGCCATTTATCTTCCTGAAAATATACCGACATAACTAGTGTTTCCCAAATGCATGCTATGTATATGTGCAAAACACTTATCTGTGTTGCTCTTGAAGTTAGTTTAACATATTCTGTTTTAAAAGATAGGATGACCTCAAATTCAGCTCTGATTGAACAAAATACCTGAGGGGCCATTTTCTGCCACAAATATTAAGCTTAAAATTTTAAGGAAAAACACCAGGAATAGATACCAACAGGTCCCTCTCAGCTTGGGGCTGTTCTGTATCTCCCGGATTACATAATCATTCAGAAAAAGACTGAAGGTGCAACTCTGAGTGCAAAGTCCCAAGGTTAAGTGCTGAGCTACAACTTTGCAGGGAGATTTTTTTTTTTTATATTGCCTCTGGAAGTACCACAACGTAGACACAGCAATAACAGAAGGCAGCATTTGGAAAGCACTGGCTGTCACAGATCAGTCTGTTTTCCTGATCCTCAGAGTCTCAATATTTTCAGACTGACATTACTCATCCATGACTGACCCATCTGCCTGGGACAATCTTCTATGGCTTAAGGACCAGGAGTAACTAGACATGATTGAAAGCTGTGGTGGAGCCAGCCTGCTCCTGCAGAATGAGCTCTGAGGTTCGAGAGCCAGCAAAAAAAATTGGATAGACAATGTCGTTCCATTACATCCAGTTCTGCTGAGGTCATGGAGTACTGTCTTGCTTGTTAAACTTTATGCCATATTTAGTCAACCCTCCTAGAGTTAAAAGTTTAGTGTCTCTGCTGTGTTTGTTTGGCTAAGTCTACATTGGGCTGTAAGCCATAACACTAAATAAGACCAAACAGTGCTCACGGCAGTGTTAACCAGCATGCATTGTGCAAGCACCTATGCCCGAGAACCATGCTGCAGGTTAATGTGAAAGAAAACAAACCCATAGTGCATAGAGCAATCTGGGAGACAGCTGATGCTCAAGGCTGCAGTGAACAACATTATTGCTTTTCTCCAAATAAAACTAAGACAGAATTTCTCCAGGAGAGCCTGCCAGTCTGCACATAGCCGGTATACACAACATGTGCCAGTAATTTTAACTTTTTTCTTTAGTATTTAACTTCTATCTTAATTAGGTCTACATTTTCTTTGCTTTCATTAATTCTGTTATTCATCAGTTTAATTTAAACCTAACAGCTCCCAGGGTAAGAAAATTCAAAATTGCTCGCTTTATTGAGCAGACCCATATATCCAAATTATAAAGTATTAAGACCCTGATGTCTGGGATTAGGTGTGTCTTATTTTTTATACTCTCCCTTTTCAATGGCCACTTTTAGAAATGATTTTGCTCTATTAGTGGCTCTGAAGATGTCTACTGACAGTGCAGGTTGCAGCCATTCTCCAAACTTACCTGTCATGACTGTCTTCACATTAATTCGCATGTTGGAATCCTTAAGGCTGCACAGAAGAACCTGTCTGATGTTAACCCATCTGTTTTCCCTCTACTCTCCCTGAACTCACCTTGGGGATGCAGAGGTGTTCCTAGGGAGGAGGGTAACACGTGGAGAGCCTCTTTCGAGTTTAAGGATGAAGAGTTCTGGCTCAGAGGGGCAGGCAAAGCAGGGGCTGACGGTGAGGTCAGGTCCAAGGAGAGGTCAGTTCTGCCGTGGCTTGCACTCCGGCTTCTCAGCTCCTTCTCGTGTGCCTCAGCTGCCAACTGTTCCAAGTACTTGTATCTGAAAGTTAAATTCCAAAGGGTTTCCGTAAAAAGAAAGAGGAGCCTGTGGCCGATGCTTGTTTATGGATGAAACACCTGCAGGGTGAGCTGGTTTCCTGGTGCACAGAGCACAGCGCAAAGCTGACTGGAGGGTCAGTCTGCCAGAAACACCCAGCGGAGCCAAGATGCTAATGATTAAAAACCCTGCATCATTCATAAGCAAACAAATTGCGGGAAGTGGCCACATCGCAGAGTCCCAGATCCTGCATCACTGCGGCAGCATTCCGTTTTGCTCTTTTAGGAACCATTTGCACCAATAAGCAAAATAGTAATAACAATCATTTAGAAGCTTTAACAGTGACAGCTGAGAACCAAACCCTCAGAGCGCACAGCTGCGAAATAGGAGGACACGCCTGGACTCGATGTGATGGAGAGAAACAATGGTCCCAAAATAACAAAAGGGTCTGCTTGGATGAAGGCCTCTCGGAATTTCTGAACCTGCTTCAATGCTAACAGCAATGCAACTGGAATTTACTTTGTTCTTTCAGCATCAACCATGGAAACTTTTTTTTATATTCTAAAATATTTCTGAGTAGGACTCAGAGACATCCAATAGCTTGGACCTGACGTCACATATAGTTTATTCATCAAAGTCAGTTTAAAAGAACAAAGATACATCTGTTTTGCATTTCAGGCAGGCAAAACCCACTGTTTATTAAGACCAGCTACCAATCATATTCCTCATAGTGTGCTTTATAGATCAGACCAAAATAACTCTGAAATATGTGCCTCTTCCAGATGTCTGCTAATTTTACCCACCATTATTTGTGCAGAATTCAGCTGCAGCAGGTCTCTGAGGATCTTACCTACCGCTGAACTGTGAAATAGCTTACTTGGGACCCTCACTCCACACCCATCCGGATGCACTGCTTCAGCCCCTCCCAACCCACCAGGGACCCACCCAGGCATTGGACATGATGCTCCTAATTCACCAGGATGAGAAAGGCAAAGCACATATTTAGAATCTTTATGAAGGATGCTTTAGAAAGCATGCACTTCTCCATCCCATCCTTCAGTGGGCGTGGCTCCCTGTTACCAGTACCCATTCTCCCGGCCAGCACAAAGGCAGACTGTCCTTCACCCATTCTTGCATGCGCTTCCCGCTCTGTGAAGCCTGCCTTGACCACCACAGCTGGAAGTGATCTCGGTCCTGCCTCTGAACTCATGTCGGATATGTAGCCCATTCAACTCGGATGGCATTTTACATTTACGGCCTGGCATAGTCATCTTTTCACATGTGTACGTCTGTTTTCAACAAGCAGCTAATATGATTTTTCAGAACAAGGAAGATTATCATCCTTTGTTCTCTCCCTCAGTGCCTTGCATTTGTCGGCTGATGGAGAGCAGGCAAAGTGCACAGGGAGAAACCTGCACAGCAGCCTCCACCTGCACAGGCCCACCTGCGGCCCAGGGTGCCAAGGAGCAAAGGCGCCCCATTTCATTTTCATGGGCAGTGAGCCTGCTTTCCTGGTACAAACATCTGAGGCTTGGTGCCAGAGCAGATGCCTCACAGGGGATGAGGCTATACCCAGAAAGAATCACACTCTGGACTTCTTTGCCAAAAACATCACCTCTTCTAAAGGTGTCATGGTTTAGATCTGGAATCTCCCCAGATTCTTGTGTTCAGAGGTGGGACTTCTGGAAAGTGAGGGCTCTGACCTCAACAGCGGATGATGGAATGGACTACTAGGAGGTGAGACCTAGTTGGAGGAAGGAGGTTAGTGGGGTCGTGTCCTGGGTGGATTTATCTTCTCTCCAGCCCCTCCCATTCTTCCTGTTTCTCTGCTTCATGGTTACTTGGGGATGAGCAGCTTTCCTCCAACACACCCCTCCACCATGATGCTCTGCCTCACCTCAGGCCTGGAACAATGGAGCCAACCAATCATGAACTGAAACCTCTGAAACAATGAGTCAAAAATAAACCTTTCCTCTAAGTTGTTGACTAACACAAAAGGTAAAAAAGTTAACAAAGAACATGTTTCTGAACTCAGTTAAGATGAGCAAGGAGCCCTCCGTCCCCTGCCAGGCTGGGAAATAAAAGGATTTTCATGGCAGTATGTTGAGACCCCTGGAAGCTTTTCAGACAGTTTACTCAAGGCCATGAATGCTGTCAGGCCAGGAGGAGGGAGCCCAGGCATACTCACACTGAGTCCATGCCTAGGACAGGAGAAAGGGGCAGGCAAGGAAGGAAGTACAAATAAGACTATCCACAGAGGTCTAGAAGATCAGAATCCAAGAACAGGAAACCAGAAAGTATGGTAATGAGGCCTTGCACAAAAGACTTCCAAACAGGGTGACGACCACTTCTGGGGTTCGTGTTAGCTGGTCCAGCCTTGGTCCTGGATTTCCATATCCTTCCCTACACTTCCCTGTGGGCAGCCATTCTGGCAGGCATGGGCTGGCAAACAAAGGATTCACACTACATTCTGGGGGACTCTCATCCCAGCTGCTGATCCCAGAACCAGAATAGATAAAATACAAAGACTACTCCTATGCATCCCTTGGTCTGCGGATGCCATCCTGGGGAAGAGTCAATGGTTTAACCAGAATCATCCCAAAGAATGAGGATGTTTACGTGGTAGACAAAAATGGCTGGGGTGAGGTATGGTGTTTAATGGGTACAGAGTTTCTGTTTAAAAAGATAAGGGATATATGGAGACTGGTAACCCAACAATGTGAATATACCTGATAGTACTAAACTCCTGAACTATACACTTAAAATGGTTAAAATGTCCAAGTGTGTCCTGTGTGCTTTATCTGTTTATATATATATATATATATATATATATATATATATATATATATATATATATATAAAAAATTTTTTTAAATGGCAGGGGCAGAGTGTCACGGAGGACAAGAGTGAGGGACAGTGTTACCTGTCTTCCCACCCTAAATGATCCTGTCAACATAACTCCCATGACCTGGCCCAACCCCCTGCCCCCCAAAGGAGCCCTGCCAAAAGTGACTAACTCCTCCCATGGCCTAGCTCTGCTAAGATTGTATATAAAGCCCAGAACCTCGCGGCCAGCAGCCATTTTATCCCTGAAAATGAGCCATAGCAGGTGTTTGTCCGATTGACCCCGCTGCAGAATAAAGAGAAGCTTGCTGATCTGAGATCTGCTCCCCGACTCCGTCATTTGTGCGCTCACAATAGCACTGAACTTTTCTGGAAGAGGAGCAGCAGTGTTTGTCTATAGCAATCGGGGTGAGGGTGGTGGGCTGGTACTCATGGAAAGAGGCATAGTAGCCAGCAGTGAGAAGTTACAGCTGAGCGACCCTCCTGCCCACAGGTTCTCTGGAGCCCTGGAGAGAAAGTTGGACCTGTATCATGGCCTTCCCTTAGATAGTGATTAAAAGCCCCAGCATTTAGGGGCCCAAACACACTTGATCTGGGGAGCCCATCAGCCCATGCAGTGGCTGTCATGTGTCTACTGCGTCATGAAGCAACAGCAATGAACAGAGCATGACGGAACCTCCTGTGCAAAGCCGGAGGTGTGGCTTCCAGTCTACAGAGCATGGCCCCAGGCACAGACCTTCCACCTTTGCTGCCTTCATCTAAACATTCCCATTTCTCCTCATTGTGCCTCATCCTGTTTGCTCATTCATCTTTTCACTTATTGACTGGACATTGGCTGAGTCCCTGTCATGTGCTAAGAACTCTAGTAGCAGAGATTTAATAATAAACAAGAAAAGGAAAGGTAAATAAACTGCTGGAATAAACCCAGCATCCACAGGGTCTAGTGGCAGGGCTGGAGCTGTGGCTCAGGCTTTTTGCACAGAACTCTATAGAAACCCGACCTGAGGTTAACCTAAATCTAGTCACCGACAATGTTTCCTGCTTCCTTCCTCCTGGAAACTCTCCCAAGCTTGGCTCTTCTAACTTCTATTCTCAGACCTTTTAAGCAATGCTCAGAATCCTTTCTCACTGCTTCATTGTTGACTTTTGTGTATAAATTCCAAACTCCCAAACCAGTCCCTAAATCTTGCCTGTGCTTGGTTTCTGAAAGCTATGCTCACCAGGTGGCATTTCCTCTTTGGATCCTGCTACCCAGCTCCCCCCTCAGACTAAAAAAAACCTAGGCCGAACTGATGTACCAACTACCCCACCTCCACCCCAACATGTCCCCAGACTGGATCTCATACTCCACTCCACTTTCTGAAAAATTCATGCACTTCCCTTAAATGGATCATATCATATAAAAACTTTTCTATTTTTTAAAAAATAAAAGCAGCAACTCCATAGAAACATTCCTGGTCTATCACTGTCAATAAAAGTTTGTCTGAAATCATGGAAAGATATGAAATAAAATTTTACTGGATGGTCACTGGACCTCAACATAGCAAAGCAATGTTTATCTTCTTCAACTAACATGATACAAACCCCAAAACCATTGGTCATGACTCAGGCCATCATTCTCTGAGTCTTTTCATTAAGAGTCATTGAATCCTGGAAACGCCCCGTACTCTATCTTGAAGAGTTAATAGGTGGAGTCCTTTCTTATTTCTGAACCTCTTTCTACCTCTGATCTCCACTTAGTTGCTCCATTTATTTCCAAATTCCATTATATTTGGAGATCTTATTTCCTGGATTACCAGGAATACTCAAAACTTTCCAGATAGGGATTAGAGTATCTCTCCCTCACTCTTATTATCACCAGGTAATTCAAGAAACAAACTACCCAAAAAAGTGATTTATCCAAACCAAAGGAAAATTATTGGCTGCTTTTTATCAAACTTCTGTGGAACCCCAAAGTGGGCTGAGGGAAGGAGCCCTCATGGGGCCATGGGGAGTCTCCTCCTGCACCTGCTAAGGCAACCCAGGCAGATGGGCAGATTGTGGTTGAGGACCAAAGGCAGAGAAAAATAGGGGAGGAGAGGATTGACAACCTCCTTTACACAAGTCTGCCAGGCATAAGCCCTTATTGGAAAAAAGAGCAGCAAATAACCACCCCTGGCTTTTCAATGGTTCGGAAAAATTCTGAAGTCAGTCTGAACCACAAAGCACCTTGACATTTCCCCAGGGGCTGTCAAGCTTTGCCTATATAATCTGATGGTCAAGTTGTAGGAAGCTCAAAGTATAGACTATGGAGGAAAAACTTTAAAAAAAAAATCCTTAAGCCTGGGCAGAAAGTCAACAATATTTTCAGTAAAAGGGAGTATAATTTATACACCCCCACCACATGTTATAAACAGACACTGGTTAGAGAAACAGAAGTTTCTTATTTCCTTACCAGCATCTTTCATTCTGAATTTACTAGCCACAACTGGTAGTTAGGATGACAATAATCTAATAGAATGTTGAAAATAAAGCATTGCTGTAGTTTTATTTATGAGGCTGACTTAAGCACCTAATTTTTTAATTGAGCACAGACAGTCTCCACTCTGCTCTGACTGTCTTGATCTATTTAGCTGATGGTGTCTAAAAAATTAGCATGATTCCACATCTTATTGGCACAGTCCGGAAATTGTTAGGTTCCCAGCTGGCTCCAGTACAAAAGGTGTAAAATGAGCCTTTCCATCTCTCCATGCTGTAACACCATCTGGTGGCAGAGGTGACAACTGCAGTGTGTACAGTGTAGAGGGTAAAAACTTGTCTAAAACCAGTTTTTTTTTTTTGTTTACCTATATTTATCAAACACTGAGTACGCTAACTATTTTTATTGGGGTTCAAGCCCTGCTTCCACTGAAATTAATAAGCTAGCTTACAGCTTGAATATCTTAAAATAAAGCTGCTGGTTCATTTGCTCATTTGTTTATTCTACATAACATTCCTAAGTGCCTACTACATGCCACACACTGTCGTGGGCACTGGGGGAAGCAAGGTAAACCAGGCATAATTACTGACACTCAGAAGCTGGGTGCAACTCAGGAGACGGGGGTATGATCAGGTACAACCAGCAAGAGTCTCAGGTGTGTCTATCACCCCTTACTATGTGTACGCTCAAATATTTGTTGAAGGAATGGCAATGAAGTGACATGGAAGCACATGCTAAAAGTATCTAACCTGGGCTGAGCAGTGGTGGTCCATGCCATGTCAAACAGTCATACACTGCACAATGGTGTTTTGGTCATTGATGGATCATATATACAACAATGGTCCCATAGAAGTAATTTCAAGGACAGATCCCAGAAGTTAAGTGACAATACATGTACCATGTGTCAGTAAGGTAATAGTAATGTGCTCATTTGGAGAGGAGCACACATGCATTTCACCATAACACTAAATGATAAAACTTTACCTGGAAAAACTTACACAACTATGGCACTCTTTCCGGTCCTCCCCCACAAAATGCCAGTTACACAATGCTTTAGGTGCCTTAGAAGAAGTTAATATATTTTAATGAACACAGTCTCCTCTGCATGCTTGGTTAACAGTGCAAAGTCACATACCATTTGGTTAGAATGGGAAAGAAGAGATACCAACCTTCCTTCTCTTGCTTGTCTTTGCTCTTCTCTTTTGTCTAAATACTCTCGGCTAATAGAAATATGCAGAACAAACGGGGAAGGAAAATAGTAATAAAATTAAATGCTTATAAAATTACAAAGTTATTATTAACAAGATATCATGAAAGCCTGCTATTCAGAAACGAAAAACATGTTGTTGAATTTTTTTTAAAGTTTAAAGGCTGTACTTTAAAAGTTCTAAACAGTGGATTTTCACTAAAATCACAAAGACATCAAAAAACAAAAATAGGATTCACTCAGCAATACTATTAATTACTCTATGGGGGGGAAAGGTAAGTAGTGAGGAAGAGAAGTTTTAAAATATACATTTATAAAATGTGGTGACTATGAGTAGGCAATAGATATTGGAGGTAATTAATATTTGACTGAACTCCAGTAGTTCCATCATATCTCTCTCATGAAATAAACTTCATCCAGGCAGGGTGGTGCTCACAAGTAATTACAACACTTGGAAGACTGAAGCAGGAGGATCACCAAGTTCAAGGCTAGCCTCATCAACTGAGATCCTCTCTCAAAAATATTAAAGGGATGGGGATGTAGCTCAGAGGTAAAGCACTCTTGGGTTCAATCTCCCCCCATACACACACACACCAAAAAAAAAAAAAAAAAAAAAAATCAATGTGTGCCCAAAGGTTGTGGCCATTTTGTTGCACTCCACAGTTTGGACACTCCTTCCATAGTCCAGGGTTCTTTCTCCCCATCATCACTCTCTCAGTTTCTAGGTCGGGAATGTTAGGAGCTCTGACTTTTTCTTTGTTTGCATCCATATGATGCCCATCTTTGTTCAACTTTAACATTTTGTTTTTCTCTTGATCAAGTTCCAACTCGAATCTGAGTTTAAGACTATTTGGTCAGTCACCTCTCAGTGGACTGTTTATTTTCCTGGAGAATCAAGATATGTTTTTCTACAGTGACCCTCATGATGGAGCTTAGTATTCTATTCCTAACTGAATAGAGTCCCTAACTGGATTAAAAGGGACAGTACTTCATGAAGACTGAAGTAGGTTGGGGGTGGGCTGCAACTAGGACTCAGATTGGTCATCACTTATAAACATTATCATTTTCCACACAAGAAATAAAATTTCTCATAACCTTGAAAGCTTAAAACCACATTCAACAAAAACAACAACTGATAAGGAACAACAATAACAAAAAAATCACAGAAAGGTGAACAATTTAAGTTAATGAAACCAGTGAGAGGTGTCCTTTCAGATAACACTAGAGACCACCATGTAAAGCTCTTCCTATATCCTTTTTCAAATCTCATTTCATTCATTCTCAGAATATGGAATTGCAATTACTATAATTGAGTTGCCTATGCTCTGTCCTGATGTTAGCTTCCTTTCCGGAAAAAAAAAAAAGTCATTCTGCTGGGTATCTCTGCTCTCTTAAATGAGAAGTGAAAATCATTTGGAACCAAGAGCAAATGGCAGACAGCTATGAACAGTCTCCTATGGCAGAGTATCCAAGTCTAATCCTCAACTCTCTGTGCATGTGTCACACATAAGGGGCTCAATATATATTACAACACATTCTTTTCCTATTCTTTTATACCTCGGGGACTCTACACATGAATTCTAGACATTTTGATGTTTTCCATGGGTCTCAAAAACTGTTCATACTTTTAAATTTTTTTTTGTAGTTACAGATTGGCAGAATGCCTTTATTTCACTTATTTGTATGTAGTGCTGAGGATTGAACCCAGTGAGCCTCATGCATGCTAGGCAAGCCGCTCTACCACTGAGCCACAACCTCGGCCCCTATTCATATTTTTCAATTTGTTTCATTTTCAGATTGGATAATTCCTACTGTACCTCCTTTCAGGTTCACCGACTCCTTTCTTTTCTGTTGCTCAGCTAACGTAATTTTTCATTTTGATTTAAAACATTTTTGAGTTATACATGTATGTATACAGCCTTTTTTTGTATTTTTTTCTTCACAGGATACCTCTTCATTTGTTTCCAGTACATTTGTCCTCCTCCTGTTTTTGTTGTTGTTGTTGGGGGAGGGTACTGTGGATTGAACACAGGGGTGCTTTACCATAAAGCCACATCCCCTGCCCATTTTATTTTTTGAGACAGAGTCTCACCAAGTTACTTAAGGCCTTATTAACTTGCTGAAGCTGGTCTTGAACTTTCAATCCTCCTGCCTCAGCTACTCTAGTTGCTGAGATTACAGGCATTGCCACCATGCTCAACTGTCCTTACTTCTTGAAGCACATTCACAGTAGCTACTTTAAAGTCTTTTGTAATAATTATGACATCTTCTTCATTTTGTGGTTATCTTTTCGAGTTAAAATTTTCCTTGGGCTGTGGTTGTGGCTCAGTGGTAGAGAGTTGCCTAGCACAAGTGAGGTACTCAGTTTGATCCTCAGCATCACATAAAAATAATGTATTATGACCATCTACAATAAAAATACTGTTTAGAAATGCTTTTTTCCTGTTCTTTGCAGGACAAGTTATTTTGAATTGTTGTCTATAAATTTTAAATATCCTATAATGAGATTCTGGGCATTTCTACCAAAAAAATCTTGATTTTTGTTTTGTTTTAGCATACAATCAGGATAGGTTCAGCCTGTGAGTTCTGGCCTGCCTTCTGATGTTGTTTCCAATATTAACTCAGTTTGCATCTACTTTTAGTGTTACTAACATCAGGCCCTGTGTGCTCCACCCATTGGCGAGTCAGGGACCTGGGTGATGATCCTCTATTTAGTTTTTAAAAGCTGTGGTATGCGGTTCACATTCAGAGCCTTCACTTGCACACATCAGAGATGGGCTCAGGAGCGCTCACTCGATCTCCCTGCTCTTTGTGACTAACACTTTCAGGCTTCCTTGGTTTCCTTGCTGGTCCTTCAGTCAAAGCTTGTGGCTTTAGTTGCCCTGCTCTGTTGCATACTTTGCTGACTGCACTTTTATCCAGCAGAACAGCAGAAGGCCAGACAGGAAAATGATTTGCCTAGTGTCACCAGGCCACTGCTCCGTTGGACAGGGGATGGGCTCTCCTATCAGAGTGTAGGCACCTGCCTGGCTATTACTGCTATCCTGTGCCTTTGAAACAACACTGCTTGGAAGCTGGGCCAGGAGAAATAGAAAAGAAGTAAAAATGGAGAATTTCTCTACTCTGATCCTTAGGAACTCCTTTGTGCCTCAGTCCAGGAAAAGAGGGCTTCTTTTGGAGTTCTTTTGGTCTATATTGATTTGCAATTATAAGTTTTGGGTTGCCATTGAGGTCATGTCATGTGATACAGGAGAAAAATAGTGAACTCTCCCTGGTGGAATTTTAAATGCTCGTCTCCTCCCTCGACTCACCTGCTCTTTCAGAGCTTTCAGCTCTGGATTCTGTCCATGATTTATGCGTGTACTCAGTGATTCCATAGGAGTGACAGGAAACAATGTGCCAATTTCATTTGTCTCAACATTGACAGCATTTTAAGATAGGGTACCAATCAAAAATTTGGGGTATGTAGGCTAATCTCTGAATTTTCCACATCTTTCAGTCAAATTCCCTGTTGCTATTTGGTGGCAAAGTATGCAGATCTTTCAGAAAGCCATAAATCAGGAAGCATTTAACTAGTTCCAGGAGTTTTAAAGATAAATTGTTACAGAAAAGACCAGTTTTTCAAACTACTTCATGAGAAATGTGAATACAGGGATGACGTTTCCAATATCTTTCAGTAGAAGTATGACAGCTCAGGGTGTGCCACTTAAGTATGGTAAAGCAGCAATGCTTTACTTCACGTGATTCATACACCCACTCTTATAAAAGCCAGGATTAGCATTTTGCCCATGAACTTGGGGTATCTGTTTCCAAGAAGTAGTGAGTTATCGCTTAACAACTTCACAATCACTTTTTTTTTCTTGGTACCGGGGATTGAACCCAGAAGTGCCTAAACACTGAGCCACATTACATTTCCAGCCCTTTTTATATATTATTTTGAGACAGGGTCTTGCTAAGTTGCTTAGGGCCTCCTTAAATTGTTGAGACTGGCTTTGAACTTGTGATCCTCTTGCCTCAGTCTCCAGAGCTGCTGAGATTATAGGTATGAAGCACCACACCCAGCAATTTTTATCATTTCTACAATTACACATACTCTTGCTGGCTTCTGGAGAAAAACTAAGTTGTTCAATTTGTTAAGTCCTCACTGACAATGCCTTACATCCTTTATTGATCCAATTGAGAATGATCAATAGAAATAATTAGCAGAGGAACTGAAGGAAGGAAACAGGATGCAGAGATAGTGAGAGGTTGCCACAACGAGATCATGTAGATGCTCTAGGAGAGATCTAGGAAGATGAAGAAGGGGAGTACAGTACAGAAATAGGGGAAAAGTAGAAATGGAAAGCAGGTAAACTTAGAGGGAATGGATGAAGATGTGTAAGGAAAGATTCAGCAAGTGGTTTGCATTCCATGAAGACCAGGGATGGGGGTGGAAGGAGGTGGTCCTAGATGAGAGAGAACAGGTGAACTAGCAGAGGAAGAAGTGGAGGGACATTGGACTTGGTGGGGGAAGACAACCCAAGACATGAAATCTACAATAGGCCACAAACAGGGAAACATCCTTGAAGCTGGACAGAGACCTGGAAATCAAGGGGCAATGGGTTGGGGGTAATCAACAGAATGAATTTTCCTCCATCATGAAATGGGATTATTATTGCTATGTACATATATACACACACACATATACATATATTATATATAGTATATATAAAATACATATGTAACAATAATATATATAAAATAATATTAAAGATTGCTACAATAAGAAAAACATTTTCTTTGAGGCATCCAATAGAATATGAATAAAACATGAGGACCTTTAGAGAGAAACAGCAAATCAGATTAAGGCAATTAGCCTCTGTGTCCTCAGGAAGGCCTGGATAGAACCATTTTGGATAATGGAGGACCCAGGAACACACAAATCCCTAATTGTATTTGGCTCTTCCTGCCCTATGGTTAGAGAAAGGTCAGAACAAACCAGTTCCAGCCTACTGTAGGTAAGTCTTGTTTCCTTAAAGATATACACAGAATTAAAAACAAATACATTATTTTGTACATTTTGGCACCGTATTGATGATACACAGCTATAAAGTCAGATGATTTGAGCTGCAATCCATTGTTAAAAGAATCTTAAATCCTTCTTACTTGAATTTGTTTCTTTCTTCCCGTTCTATTCTCTGCAACCTTTCTTCTCTCTCCTGTCGCCGCCTCTCTCTCTCTGCCGCCAGGGACTCTTGGTGCTGCCTAAAGGATGATGTGAGAAGACCACTCAGTGATGACCTGAAGGTACAATGAGTTCATGTTTTAGTTGCTTGGACTGTTAAAAGTACTGAAGCAGGAATCAGTCTCAGCTTGGTTAGAACTGAGGGCGCTGCCAGTATCTAGGCACTGCTTGGGGAAAATTATTGAGTGTCTCAGGTTGATTTCAGGAATTTTGTCTGTCAATGGTGATAGGCAACCTGCTTCAAGCACTGCTAGGACAAAAAGGTGGTTACATAAAATACCAAGCAACATGCTTGGCATATAGTAGTCATCAATCACAGGTATTGTTTAAATAGAAAGTATTTTAGTAAAATGCATAGAATAAAAAAATATATCTTTAAGATCTATGTTAAGACTTTGATAACCTGGAATCACCTTTCTAACTAAAAATGTTTTCTATTAAGCATGTACTAAAGATATTTTACCATATACCAGTTTTTTAAAATATGGAACCTCAAAACAACAGTGTCATCTTAAAAGATGTTGAGAAGACAGATGAGGAGAACAGCAATGGTCTAAAAGGCAAATAAAGTTAAGTAAATTTCCCCTGTATCAAGAATTTCCCATGTTCAAAGAATGATCCCTGGCTCTTGTTAACACCACAGTCTGGTCTATTCACTAAGGATGACATTGTGGGGATGTCAGCTATGTAGATGCTTTGGTGGGGAATCACAGGGGTAAAGATCATAAGAAATGTCAGCAGAGAATGGGTGGGAAAGAGAAAAATCAGGTAACTCCATGGACAAATAAAGGGGTTATCTGGGGAGTCTGTTGTGCCTCTGAACGTTGCTGCTTTCATTTATGAAACAACAAAACTTCCAAAGCCAAGATATAAACATTTATGAAATGTATTTTTTTCAATTTATTTATTGAAGGATATAGCTGGGATAAAATAATACTTGAATTCAAATATGCCTTTATAGTGGGGAACACAAGGCCTCTAGTGCAGGAGAAAGATGTCACATACTCTGCCATGAGTGCCACAGCTGTTCTCACTAGAAAAGGTGAGTCACCTGTGGCTGTCAATTGGGGTGGAGAAGGAAGTGGAGGAAAAAAAACTCACTGGCCCTGTAATCAAGTCCTATATTCCAGGCTCACAGTGGAGCTTCTACATCAACCCTGGACACTCGGGCATAGACAGATTTATCTTTCATATAAAATAAGTTTAGGCCTTGCCCTATCTGACCTCTGTCTTCTTTGATTTACTGTTATAGTTTTTAAATGCTATATGAAACTAATGTAATCCACAGTCAAAGTGAAGGGGTTTATTATCTCTTGTACACTGATAGAAATTGTTAAAGACATAACAGGGTTAATGAGTTTTATCTGATAGATGAACCCAGCACCCCAAATTTGAGAAAATACATTAGATCCACAGACTTTTTAAAAACTGACCATCGTGAATGAATGCCAAGAATTGGTTCCCTCATGACCATAATGCAATCAAGTTGAAAATAAGCTAAATTTGAAAAGAAATATACATAATTGGAAAATTTAGTTTACTTCTAAACAACTCAGGTCAAAAAAGAAAAATACAGAAAGCTAAAAAATACACAAAGGGTACCATAATGAAAAAGCTGTACGTCAGGGTTTGTAGGATGCTTCTAACATATTTAGAAATAAATCTATTGCTTAAGTATTTATATTAAAAAGAGCAAAAGTTAGTGAGTAGTCAATCCAACAATTAGAAAACTGAATAAATTCAAAGACAAAGGGAAAGAAAGAACAAAAACTTTAAGTTGTACACCTATTTTTTATAAGAATTTTATCAAACTTAAAAATAGAAGAAAACTTTCTTAATCTGATGGATGTTCAGCAGAGACATTTTAAAAAATTATGGTGAGAATTATTCTTAAAGCTGAAACACCAAGTAATTGCACGTTAGAAATGATATGAAGATGCTCCTATCATTGCTCATATTTGACATTGTTCTGATGGCCCTAGCCAATACATGAAAAATAGATAAAAAACATAAGAAATTCAATGCCATCATTTGCAGATAACTTTTATCAGGTATCTAGAGAGATCAAGTTATTAAAATTAACAAGTCCAGTAAGTCTCTACATGCAAAATATACAAAAATCAACTGCATTTTCATATACACCTTACTAAGTTAGCCATAAGTTAACTATGAATTATGTGACTCATAATTCATGACCATAAAAAATGATTTTTATAAAATATTATTTTAAAACTCAATTATGGGCTGGGAGTATTTCTCATTGGTAAAGTACTTGCCTAGTATGTATGAAAGACTCAAGTCCATGGTAATTGTATCATATTCATGAATAGAAAGATACAGTCAAGATACCAATTCTTCTTTTCCTCAATTAATACAATTTATGCATACCTCTAACTCAACTTCCCAAAAGGACTTTTCATGAAACTTTACAAGCTGAGGCCCAAGTATAATCAGTACAATTTTGAACAAGAACAAAACAGCATTGGTCCCACTAGATATCAAATTGAAATGTAGAATAATGGAATGAGTAGAGCCAGGACATAGATGCTCAAGATATACAAGATACACCATATATATATATAAATTATAAAATTAAAATGTATATTTTACTTTGATTTGCATATTAAATTTTATATTAAATTATAAATTACGTATAACATGTACAAATATATATTTCATATAGATGGAATAAAGAATCATGACAGATATGTCAGTACATATCTTCAAGGAAAGTAAAAGACTATTTAACAAATGCTGCTGGGACTACTGTTAGCTGTAAGAGTAAAATATAACTAGCTCTGTCTCACACCCAAACAAAAAAAATCTAGCTAGTTTAAGTGAAAAAAGCAAACCTTTACAACTTTTATATCCCAGGATAGAAAAAAAATTTTTAGATGAAAAAGGAAACTGGATAAATACGTATAAATTTTAAAATTTGTGTACATTGAAAAACCACATAATAAAGAAAATCAATGGCCTAGAAGCAGCTACTTATGACATGTATAAACCACAGAGGATTTGTATACATTGTACAAATATAATACCCTAAAATCAGTATGAAAAAGATAAACTACCCTGTAGAAAAAAACAGGCAGAGAATAATAGGTATTTCACTGAATAACAAAGTTAAATATACAATAAACATGTGAACGATGCTCATTTTCACTAGAAAATCAGGAGAAGGAAATGCAGGCTAAACCCAACAGTAAAATTTCAGATCCATTCTCTTCGTGCCCTAACTGATCCCTATAACATAAAAAGATTAAAGGACTCTGAGATTGTCTGTCTTGGATATATATAAACCATTTTAGTCATACTAGAAACAGTTATAAATACAATATTCAAAAGTTAAGTTTCTCTAGGTCTCCTGCTACCCAGATAAGCTCAGCACGTGGCAGTATCAACCTGGTCCTACAAATCCTATTTCTGGAAGTTTCTCAAGGTATAATACAAATGCCACATTGCAGCATACAAAGGGAATAGCCCAAATCATCACTACAAAAAGATCTCCCAAATTCAAGCTAGCATGGTAAATGCTTTTTAATGGTATCTTTTATATTTTATCTTTTATAGTAAGTTCTCTAGAAACACCTACAGTGTTTGGAAGTTGTTGCAGTGTTTCTTAGCTAGTTTGGGGACAAAGTGGTGTAAAGGAATGAGCACAGCGCTTAGAATGAGAAAATTTTAGTGGGGATAGTCACTTAACCTTTTCAAGCCACTGTTGACTTCTTTGTAAAACGGGGATAGCCATACATACAACTCATGAGATACCATATAGTTTAAATGAGAATGTCTGCATGAATTTCCTTCAAATAGCATCTGGGCCATGGTAGGCCCTCAAAAGATACCACATTGCATGTTGGAATGTAAAATCTGTAGGTGGCGACGGAGAGGGATGCACAGTGCAATTCAAAAAACCATGTCTGGAGAATCACCCTGGCAGTTACCAGCCAGAGAGATGCCAGCGGGCAGGGGTTCCACATGAACCTTCCCATCATGGCTACCAGCTGGATCAGTCGTCAGGACTGTGTAGCACCCGAAAATACACCTGGAAAGCTGAAGTCATCTGAAAGTTACATCCAAGGCAGCTGTGACCAAGTGAAGCCATAGGAAAGCAGGTGGCAAGAGGCCAGAGGGGGAGAGTTTGCCAGAGACTGGATGATATACTCTGAGCAACAGAAGCTGCAATATTTAATCCCAGAATTGGCCCTCAGCCTTCATTTGGCTAAAGCCTCCCTCACTGGAACATTTGGAACAGGGCCTTTGATCGAGTAGAAAATGACTGGTAGTAGCAGCTCCCATTTATGCAGATAGAACCAGCTGTTTTAATCCATACAACCTCTTATACCAAGTTTTCTCATTGTCCCCTTTAGAAAATGAGGAGACTGAGGCACAAAGAAGTTACATCGAGGATGTAGAAGAGTGGGGCTTTTAAACTGGCCTGTAAGGCCAGAGTCCACATTGACCAGCATCCCTTCTCGTATACCTCTTGTATGGAGAGTACCATGGGCACAGCACCTGTCACAGTACACTATCAGCATAATTACTTTTTTTCATTTCTTCCCTAGAGATGATCACCACCTTAAATTTTGTCTTTATCATTGCCCCCCATATGTTCTTACATTTTCTATTGACAGCTTAGGTTTTGGAATCAGATCCTATTTTGTGGCTCATCTCTCTGGCCTGGCACGTGGAAGAACCATACTGCCTGAAGAATCGATTAACTATTGAGTAAGAAGTATGAATTGAAAACAACTTGTAGGTCCCAGTCTCAGTGCTGCCTCCAACCCCTAGCCCATTCTCCATAGGAAAACACATGACGATGATCTATGGAGAAGGAGCTGCTTGCACAAGGCCCTGTCCCCTGGCACCAGCTGAGTGAAAGCAGAGTAGGTTCCTGCCTTGAAGCAGCCATCCAAAGGCAGGCTGTGCAGTGTCACCAGAGGCTTCCAGTGCAGAAGGCTGAGCTAATTGCAGATCCACACTCAGACTCTGAACTGACAGCTGGGGAGAAACAGAAGTCATAGATCTGCAGGTAGGAGGCTCTTAGTGGCCC